GTACACGAATGAAATGATACGGATAATCAAGACCTCAATATCTTTAATGAAATCCATATAAGAGTTTTATATAAAAAGACATTTACTGTTTAATTAAAATTCATAAATATTGAAACAATATAGTATCACATGAGTGCTTTAAATTTCACAATGCCAAACCTGTTCTCTATTATGTATAGTGTTAACGGAAACATATTTTATGCCTAAACAAATTATACTTTTATTAAATAATTATAGGAAAATACAGACTCTTAAAATAAAGAAAATTTATTTTTTTTTACAAAGTAAAATGACAAATAATAAGCACATTTACTTATCTACGTAGTTTAACTCTTACAATTAACTTTTTTTTATGCCTTATGCAACTTAATGCATTGATAATAGATGATAAGAAATGTGTCACTCAATTAGTACATTTTTTCAAATATGTTTAAAAGTATATTTTTCTAATTTTTCTTTTTTAATTGTAAATTTCGTAAAGGAGCAGAAATGATATTTGTTAGAATTATTGTACAAGAGGAAAATATCATTAATAAAAGTATTATTTGAGACAACGAGTAGTTGGCACAAAGCCTTTTCTCTTCATTAATATTGGGGATCAAGGGTTAATCTTGAAACAATTGATAATATTTTTGGTATGCAAAATTGAACACGTGTCCTTTAAATTATTGGACTAAATGTTTGGATAATTGTGTTGTATGTAACGCTTCAAATTGAGTCGATTGCGACTATTGAAATATTGTACGATAAATAGCTGGCACGTGACTTAAATAAGGCCTTAATCGCTTCAATGCATGAGAGGATGCATGGCGTGCAATATATACTACGATTAGATTACATGTATCGTCAGAGGATACCGCTTATTTTTTATATTAATATTTTTTTATATTAGAAAACAACTACTGTAAGGGAAACATATTTGTATAATCTAGAAGATTTAGTATACAAGGCAGGTCAAGGTTGTATTCGCTTTCGAATAGATTGGCGCCCGTTTGGAGAACCTTTTCCCATTAAGACAATCTGGTGAACACGCAATTCAATGGGCTTGTCACGGATAAACGATGTTTCACGAAGAATATTACGAGACGAGACTTCTATATGCATACGATGCTCGAATGCCTCATAATAGGTTTTGGTCTTTAATCAGGAAGTGAAATTTAATTCAGGTAAAATATAATATTACGCCTGTGTATATGTATATGTGTGCGTGTGAAAATGAATGAGATTGATGTGCATTGCATAATCACAACTGATGTAGAAACGTTGAAGGCTAATACTTGTGTTTATTAACCGGTGTAATCTACATAAGTTTTTTGTTATCTGGAAAGTATCACATACAGCTTGATAGTCAGTGATTAATTCGGTCAGCCTTGAAACTTTTTAAACTCTTATAGAAGGAAAGCCACTTGAGTTCCTAATTTATAACTTTTATCTATGTTTTTATCGAACAATTTTATATTACAATAAATACCCTAAAATAGAATAAATAAATAAAATAAATGATAATTGGCTTATTTTTACAGAAAATTATAACAAATTAAATCAAAGTTAATGCAAATTTATAAAAGTAAACATAGTATCAAATTTAATCGTTCTTGCAGTTTAGCATATTATATTTCTTATCTCTAATTCTTCATAATAATGTAATACTATACACAGAAAAAAATGGTTGAATTAATTGGAATTCTGATGGAAAATGAACGATCCAGAATTTTTGTTAAATCTATTAGATTTCTAATTAAATCTACTAAATGTTGGTTACTTTAACTAGAATTTTAATATATTTAAATCTTGTAAATTTAACTAGAATTCTGAATCGTTTATTTTTCACCAGAATTCTAGTTAATTCAGCCAAACATTTTTTTCTGTGTATGGTTTTATAAGTTAACTTTTCAAAATAAATTAAAAAATTTACATTAATTATATATTATGTTATTACATACATTACTTTAATGTTCTATGTACATTGTACATTCAAATTTAATGAAAGCAAGGACTCCACAAATTTAAAATAATGAAAAGTAATAAAGATTGTGGAAGTCAACGCAGTGAACAGTACGATTATCTTATATTTATTAAATTTATTCCATAAACCTTGATATGATTTCGATGAATTATATTATGGCTGCGCTCATTGAAATCACATCAATTTATAGAATAAATTTAATAAATATTAAGATAATCGCACTTAATTGTATTGACTCCCACAACCTTTATTACTTTTTATTATATTATATATTATTTTAATATTCCCTCTTCTCTCTCTCTTT